AGGAACAAATGTATTTACTTAGTACATATCTGACATTAACGATTAAACACATGTGTGCATTCTTTATAAATGCAAACTTAGTCAAGCCGACTCCGGAGGTGGCGGTATGCACCTTCAAGTTGTTTGCAATCCGCCAAAAAACTGAGAGAAGAAGAAGAAGCCGACTCCGAGCTGTCCGACTTCAGGCGAGCTTTTTGAGACCTCCCCCGGCTGCGATTGGCTATTCTCGTCTACTTTCGAGGCGAGCAGCAACGCGTCTCAAACAAGCCTAAGGCTTAAGCAATAATTGCTTATTAAGTAATTATTATAATTAATTGTGCAGTTCAGTTCACCGAATCGTGACGTCACCCCATTCAAAGTGAATGGGCAGAAGCGTTGAAGCGTCAACGCACGCCGCCGTTTGTAGGGGCCGTTACCCCTAGATTCCACCGGGTCCGTCTGCGCTGCGTCACAGCTGCGTCGTGGTTTTGGACCGACCTCCTCCAGCGTCATAACCCACCGGGCGCGTTTCAGAAGCATCTCAGAAGCGGAGCATCTTGTGTGCCGGCTCAGAGTTTTTGTTGATTTGGGCATATTTCCTGGACAGGCTACTTTGTACAGACAAAGTTAATAATAATAATAATATCCCAGTTATAAACAACATGAATCAAAGATGTGTTGCTGTATTTTAGTGGTAAAAAAATTACTTCATCATCATAATTATTCATTATATATAATTTACACAGTGCCTGTAAACCGGAGGAGAACGCTGGCATTTCTCTTCCTACTTGAAAGACTACGGAGGGATGGGATCTGCAAAATTTGTTTATTTTGGGGATTGACTGGATGCTCTGACCGGTCCACTTCCTGCCCGGCACTATGCAACGCCTCGCGTCACGTCGAAAATAGACTTGCATCCTATTTTTAGCGGAGCACAGCGCCAAGACGTAACGTGGCCGTAACGCGGCGCAGACGGGCCCGTGGAATCTAGGGGTTAGGGAAACATGTCTCTTTGTTCACCAGTTGTAGGTTAAATCATAGAACAACCAAAAAGAAATTCAGAGCCTCCGTGTTCAAACAATGTTAAAGACTGATAGCAGTTGCAGTGAATGTGTTACTCTCTGTATGCAGTGGAGGAATGACTTTGTCAATGGCTTGGTGAAGATCCCAAACTCCCATGAGACTCAGGAAGAGTGCCTCGGTATGGCTGTGCTGGACATGTCGAGAACAGCCAAAGAGAAACAGATGTCACCGCTGGACATCTACCACACCATAAGGTACTAGGGAAACTAAAAGGCTACCCTAACTAACTTTATTCTAAAATTAGCAAAACAATTTTTTTAGCTCATCAAAGAATCTGAAAAAGCATTCAATGCAAGTGTCAATCAAGAAGAGATCCAGTCTTTGTGACTTAGTTCTTTTGAAAGCAACAAATTGTGTCATTTTAATGTACTTTTCTAATCTGTATTTCTCTGTGCATGATTTGTTGTTAAATGTTTCAGCGCACTAATGATCAGAACAAGACATCATTAACATGATAAGAACTTGTCAATTTCAGTGAAAAAAAAGCTTTGTCCACTAAATATACTTGGGGTTTCTTTTATGTGTATGATTACATTGCAAAAATATTTTTATAATCAAAATTAATTTAGCTAATTTTCCTTTTGCTTACTTCTAGTTACAAGTCTTTCTTGCCAAAAGACATGAGAGCTCAGATCCAGGACTGCAACTTTGTGACACGCAAGCGAATCCGATTCCGCTTTAAGCGCTTTATCCAGCAGTTCAGTCAGTGTCGGACCACAGCGCGCGACCTCAAGCTGAAGTACCTGATCAGCATGGAGTCCCTGGAGAAGGCCTTCTACACGGAGACCTTCCAGGTCAGGGATCCGTCGAGCGGACAGCTCATCATCGTGGTGGCAGCGGACATCGGCATTCAGTGGTGTCGAGAGAAACTCAAAGATTCTGACGAGGTTGGTTTCATGAGCACTGTCAGTAGCCTCTGCTCCTTTTTAAAATGTCTACATGATGGACATTCAGCTGACTTTTAGAGGAGGGCAGTACTGAAGGCCTTTTAGTACCTACATCTCCAAATTAAAAGCAAGGGGCCATAACTCACTTCAACCCTTGAAGTTCACTCAAAAATATATAAAAAGAAAACATGTAGCAAAATAAATATGATGATTTAGAGCTTAAGGGAGTTGAAGAAATGAAACAGAAATACAGGATTGTGGCCTCAAGGACTTGTAGTTTTTCAGAATGAAATACTGGGTTTGTTATTTGTAATTTGGTAATTATATAGTAAGGTTTTCTTTGTTGATTTGGTTACAAAAGTTGTTCCTTATGCTGTTTGTCCAGGAGCTGCAGACCTTGTGCGACTTCTCTGACGTCATCGACATGAGCATCAAACAGGCCATCAAGGAGGGGGCTGCAGAGAGTCGGGTGGTCACCATCACTAAACAAGATGGAAAGAATCTGGTAATTTCAATATTTTGAAAATACAAGTATGTGTTTACCCTTTTTTTTGTATCCAGATAAAGGAACTACTTTTTGAAAACAGACAGATTCAGTGACACTACTGGATTGTACGAGTAGAACATCTTCACTCAAATTAGCTGTGGGTAAAAGCAAATTATCTAAAGATATACTAACTATGGATGGCATTAATTTGGCCTCCAGTGAGACTGTAAGGAATCTTGGTGTTATATTTGATCAGGATTTATTCTTTAATGCCAACATAAAATCAATTTCAAGGACCGCCTACTTCCATCTACGTAACATTGCAAAAATCAGGCATATCTTGCCTCAAAATGATGCAGAGAAACTAGTCCATGCATTTGTTACTTCAAGGCTGGATTATTGTAACTCCTTATTATCAGGGTGTACCAAGAAGTCAGTCAAGTCGCTTCAGCTGATTCAAAATGCTGCAGCTCGTGTACTAACCAGAGTTAGGAAAAGGGACCACATTACTCCTGTTCTGGCTGCCTTACACTGGCTCCCTATAGAACACAGGATAGAATTTAAAATTCTTCTTCTCGCCTACAAAGCCCTTAATGGGCAGG